AAGTGGGCAGGAAGTTATCTTCAAACTTTGTACAGCAGTCTCCCTAACAGATCCTCACCATCAAGCAGTGGGTAAGGATGTATCAGGTGGACACTTTCTCATGTTTCTTTCTAGGCCGTGCTTTAGGAAGAGACCAAGATCATTCAGAAATAGGAAAAGCATTAAATAACTAGGGTTTATGGAATGTATGTATCATTTAGGACATGAAAATAATACTGTTGAAAAAGCAGATATTCCATTTTGCTGCTGCTGATGTGTGTGTGTGTGTGTGTGTGTGTGTGTGTGTGTTCTTGACATAGGTTATCACAGAATGGCTCATGTTTTCTTAGGATTGTGGGTGTGAGCCCTTTTCCGAAGCAGATATTCTGCTTTGTAAATGCTGCAGTGAAGAGTCTCATCTCAGAATTAGCAATTTGGATAGACTTTTTTTTTTGGTCTTTTTGAGAAAGGGTCTCCCTGTAGCCCCAGCTGTCCTGGAACTCGCTATGTAGACCAGGCTTGCCTTCAACTCACAAAGATCAGCCTGACTGCCTCCTGAGTGCTGGGATTAAAGGCAGGTGCCACCATGCCCAGATAGACTTTTAACCAACCATGCGACTTTTAGCAAAGCATCTTCCCTTTCTGGATCCTAATTTCCTTCTTTGAAAAATGAAGACACTGAAAGAGTTCATCCCTTAAGTTGTAGCTCTTTAGTCTTATGCTTCCATAAATGCAGGCCATGGATAATGTAACTGGTAGGTAGAGAATAAAATGCAAAGCTTGAATTCTGAAAGCTTCTTGGAAGTAAGAGGAGCTAGTCACGATTTCAAATGACCTAAGTCGGATAAATTCTAACTTGTAAATACTCTGGGTTAAGTAACTGCCTTGACTCCAGCATCAAGACTCCAGATACTCCAGTATCAATGGAGGAGCTGTGTAGCTTGAGGGAGACAGCTGGGTAGTCATCTCAGTCACCACCATCATTTTCATCAGCCATCACAACTACAATACATAAGACATTGTACTACATGCTCTTGTAGGTAACTGAAGTATGAAATTTGTTAATATCAAAGTTTCATAGAGAGCTGCCTTAGAAGATAATACGTATAAATAAAAATAATTTCAGCAACTGATAGTAATTGAAGGACACTGACAAAGTACTACTAAAATTTAATTGTGTGTGTGTGTATGCGTGTGTGTGTGTATGCGTGTGTGTGTGTTCCATGCATGTGAGTGCATGTGTATGCATGAGAAAGATATCAGGTGTCTTCCTCTGTTTCTCTCCACCTTACTGTCTTAAGACAGGGTCTTAAGTGGAAACAGTTTCCATTAGGTTGGCTGGTCAGTGAGTTATTAGCATCCACCTGTCTTCACCCCCCAATGCTGGGGTTACAAGGCATTTGCATCCATGTCTACCTTTTTATGTATGTGCTGAGAATTCAAACTCAAGTACTCATGATTTAAGAGAAAGTGTTCTGATCCATTTGCCTAGATCATTACTATTGGGAAATTAGAGGCAGGAAATGTGAGTTTTGCTCTGGATGCCCAGAGAAAGAAAGGTGAACTTGGGCTAAATGGTAATTTAGGTTTCTTCAGGCTGACCTAGGTTAAGGCAAATTTCTAGTGAGGGTATATTTTAAATAAAAATGTCAAAAATAAGCGTAGAGGGCTGACGGCAAAGAGTGAAATTTATAAGATGATAATGATGATAATAATGAAAATGTTTAAAAGCATGACCCTCAGTCAAAGCAATAGGGCTATTCCACAGAGTAAAAGCAGTGGTTATAATGTCAGATTCCAGATCAATGGAAGGAAGAATTTTATCTTAATGAAGTACTTTGCCAACAGAGACAGTTGCCATGTGGAGCAGAGACCATCAGCACTGTCAGTGCTGGCAAGGCCTTGATGCCCATCTGTGGGGCTTTTCTAGGCAAAACACTTCTTCCTGCATAAGAAGATAAGAGTCTTGCTTGTCTGCATCAGCCTAAGGCAATGTTGTATGGGGTGTAGCTGATTTACACTCCCTTTTTCAGCTCTTTAAATAGTATGAATTCATGGGAATATAGGATACACTTAAAATTTTCTAATGCTTCAGTGGAATTCAAATGATGTTCCTAAAGCTTTAGCCAACACTAAATTCTGTGTTTATTGGTGCCTGAAATGATCATAGTAATGAGAATTGATTTTTTTAAAGCAGTTTACAGGGAAAACCCTCAATCTTTTTATCATATTCAAGTGGGATGAGAGAAAGTGAGAAGACTGGTCAAAATATCTGAAAATTATTAAGCAGGAACTTGAGGAGTGTGTGTATATGCGTGTGTGTATGTGTGTACATGCACATGTACTAGTGTTTAGAGGGAAATAGTGCTTGATCTCATTTGAAGAAGGCTCTTGATTTCACAGGAAGAAGGGAGAGAGAGAGAGAGAGAGAGAGAGAGAGAGAGAGAGAGAGAGAGAGAGAGACTCTTGTCCAGGTCTCTTTTATGTATTCAAACCACATTGGTCCCCACTGTAGTTTTTACTAGTATCCTAAAGAGACCTAAAATTCTGACCCTTATGCTCAGGGAAAGATGGTGTTCCATGTATGTTTCTCTAAGAAAATTAGAAGGAATGGGATAAAAGACCTGATTTTTTAAATTTTAAAATATTCACATTTCATTTATCTATATTGGATATTTCCATGATACTCATGATATTAAGCTACAGAAATTTTCATAATAACCCTAATTATATAAAGAAGTGATTTATTTATACTGGACCATTGATCTGGTGAGAAAACATCAAGGAAGCTGTAATAGATATTTTACAGCGATCCTTCGAAACTTCCAAAGCTCTCGGAACCACACAGTCACAGAAAAGAGAAGTGACTTTAGTTTTTCTGGACATTTATCAAATATTTACCGTCATAACATTGCTTATTACTAGAAAAACTTAAACAGATATGGGTGCTTTAGAGCAAAGTCAGGCATTTGCTAAACTCAGTGCTTTCTTACAAGACCACTGTTCAGATGCCTGTAAGTTATCTCAAGGCAAAATAAAAAATAATTAACTGGTGATAATATTCTACAATCTTCAACTTAAAAATAAAATTAGGTTTGGGTGTGGTGGCACATGTCTTTAACCCCATCACTCTGGGGGACAGGGGCAGGCAGATCACTAGCAGATCTACAGTGAATTCCAGGCCAGCCAGGAGAGACCCTGACTCAAAAAACCAAAAACGTGAAAAAATAAAATTATGTAACATTGTAGATGAATTATAAAGTATTCAATAGTTAAGTGAATCAAAGTCTAGACTATCAAGTGGAAGTAATCACAAATACCAACATCTGAAATGCCTAAACTTACAGAAATTTTGTAAAACAAATTAGCTGTTAAAACTTTTTCCAGCATTAGAAGAGTTGAGGCTGTAATTTACTCTCTTCAACATGCGATTTGGAAATGGGATGGGGTATAGCAGGTAAAGGAATCAGAGAAGAGTCAGGGGCAAAACTTTAGGAAGACATTAGGAAGATTGGGGGGGAAGCAAAACATAACCAGTGTCCTTAAGATTCAGAAAATGTTATTCTCCATCCAGAAATCTCACAATTTTTAAAAAGCGAAGGAAAATTTTGAGATTTAAAAAGAGCCAATATTTCAGTAGCCTAAAACTTGAAGAACAGTTGAAATTAGAAAACAGAAAATAGAATTCAAATTGGACATCCTTGGCTCAGCACACTAGCAATATTTTATCATTACAAGTGATGATTTATTCTTTAGACAAAGAATATGTATACATGCTAAGAAGAAATGCTGAAATTTAAGGAAACTGCATGGATTCCATTAAGCAAGACAAGAGAGTTATAGGATAGAATGTGAGCCCCCCAAATGGGCTGTGATATTCTGAAAAGGCATCTTAAGTCTAACAATTGGGTGGGAACCCTGAAAAATGCTGTTGACTGGAGGAGTGGGCAGGGTGGAATTGAAGTATGGGCCTCTCAAAGAAGACGACCCTGAAGTAGAGGACTGGCATGTCTGTAGCTTACTTTTCCTCTTATCTCCTATATTTTATCTAATAAGGACATGAGCGTTGAGCAATGGCCGCTGGAAACTGGAGCCAGGTAACAGAATTCATCATTTTGGGCTTCCCTCACCTCCAAGGCATACAGACTTACTTCTTTTTCTTTTTACTTACCATTTACCTCACTACTATCCTGGGAAATCTGTTGATATTCTTAGTGGTCCGTCTGGACTCCCGGCTCCACACACCCATGTACCAATTTGTCAGCATTCTCTCCTTCTTGGAGCTGGGTTACACAGCTGCCACCATCCCTAAGATGCTGGCAAACTTGCTCAGTGAGAAGAAGACAATTTCCTTTTCCGGATGCCTCCTGCAGATCTATTTCTTTCACTCGCTTGGAGCTACTGAGTGTTACCTCCTAACAGCAATGGCATATGACAGGTACTTAGCCATCTGCAGGCCCCTCCACTATCCAACCCTCATGACCCAGACACTCTGCACTAAGATTGCTGTTGGTTGCTGGTTGGGAGGCTTGGCTGGGCCAGTAGTTGAAATTTCCTTGGTGTCTCGTCTGCCTTTCTGTGGCCCCAATCACATTCAGCATATCTTTTGTGATTTCCCTCCTGTTTTAAGCTTAGCCTGTACTGACACATCTGTTAATGTCCTGGTGGATTTTATTATAAACTCCTGCAAAATCCTGGCCACCTTCCTGCTGATTCTTAGCTCCTACTTACAGATAATCCTCACTGTGCTAAAGATTCCCTCAGATGCAGGCAAGAAAAAGGCCTTCTCCACATGTGCCTCCCACCTCACTGTGGTTCTCATCTTCTATGGGAGCATTCTCTTTATGTATGTGCGGTTGAAGAAAAGTTACTCCCTGGACTATGACCGGGCCCTGGCAGTGGTCTACTCAGTGATCACCCCCTTCCTTAACCCCTTCATCTACAGCTTACGCAACAAGGAAATCAAGGATGCTGTGAAGAGGCAACTAAAGAGAACTGGGGCACTTGGGTGATGGGTGAAGAGACGGTCAAGAATGGTTTTGAAGATGTGGTGGCTGTAGGAAACATCAGTGGCCAGAGAAGATAAATCAAAGACTCCATGCTTTCTATGTGGGATCATGGAGCTAGGGTTCATGCTGGCTGGTCTTCATTGTTATAGAGATTATCATATTATCTGAGCCATGTTCAGCTTGACCCCAGAGACTGGAAAATATACAGGCATTCTCAGCATCATACGGTTTTGAAGATGTGGTGGCTTTAGGAAACATCAGTGGCCAGAGAAGATAAATCAAGGACTCCATGCTTTCTATGTGGGATCATGGAGCTAGGGTTCATGCTGGCTGGTCTTCATTGTTATAGAGATTATCATATTATCTGAGCCATGTTCAGCTTGACCCCAGAGACTGGAAAATATACAGGCATTCTCAGCATCATATAGTCTTGTGACTTTCTAATCTCAGATGTTTATGTATCATACTTAAGAATTTTGCCAAACTTGTGCCTTACCTGATAGATACATGTTCAATTTTACTTCACTTAATATAAATCATTTAGTTATACGAATTTTCAGTTTTTATTTTTGCTTTAAATTTTATTTAATAAATCTCATTGTTTAATGTATATCTCTTTTTTTTCAAATATTTTATTATTTTTATTTTATACGTATGAGTGTATTGCCTGCATTTATGTAAGTGCATCCATGTCATTCAGTGACTGAAGAAGTCAGAAGAGGGTGTTGGATCCCCGGGAATTGGAATTATGAATGGTTGTTAGCCACCATGTGGATGCTGGGAACTGAACCCAGGTCCTCTGCAACAGCAGCCACTGCTCTTAAACATTGAGCCATCTCTCCAGCCTCTCAAGTATCTCTTAACAATTGTTTGTATGGAAAAAACTGATCTACTAAGGCATATTTTTAAAATCATATGCATCTGAATTTAAGTCTTAGTTTACTATTATTTATTAATTCATTAACATTTAAAAGGTAAATCAATCTCTTAATTTCATCATTTGATAACAGTATTTTCTTGTGAGAGACACTCTTTATTTTTATTTTACATGAATGAGTGTTTTCCCTGCATGTATGTAAGTACACCACATGTGTACAATGCCCACGGAGGACAGATGAGGGTGTCAGAGTGTCTGGAGATAGAGCGGAAGGTTGTTAGCTACCATGTAGGTGTGGAATGCCCACAGAGATCGGATGAGGATGTCAGGGTCTCTGGAGATAGAGTGGAAGGTTGTTAGCCACCATGTAGGTGTGGGGAACAAAACCTATAACATTGGTCCTCTGTGATAGCAACCAGTGCTCTTAAATGCTGAGCCAGCTCTCTAGGCTCTCTTATAGGACACTTTGAACAGTGATGATAAAATCTCTAAACCATAGGGCTGGAGAATTAGCACAGCCATTAAAGACTCTGGCTCACAGCAAAATCTTTAGACATAATACACAGTGACTACTATATGGCTGTTAGTAAAAATGAAAAATTTCTCTTATTTTTATTAACTTTATTCTACCTGATATGTTACCTTAAATCCATGTAATTTTTCATTTGTATTCTGAGCTTTAGAGCGACATTCAGCACACACACACACACACACATATATATTTATACACATATATGTGAATAAAATTTCCAAAAAGAAAGGAATAAACCAATGAAAGGGAACCCTTGTGAGGAGGGTGGAGTTATTTGTTATCTGTCCTGATGAGTTGACTGTTTTTTCTAGTGGTCCTAATATCTACATCCTTATTAAGTGTGAATACATAGGAATTTTTCAGAGGCAGGAAACAGAATAAGTTTTTAAACTGGACATGAAGCACATGACAAAAATATGAAGATAATAACAAAATTTAGCCTATTAGAAACCTAGGGACTTAGTTGTTAACCAAAAATAAGGATTATTTATGCACCTATTTTTTTTGCAAGGAGAGGCTCAATTCTTTACTATAAGAAATACCAAATTCCAGATAAGTCTACTTCTACCTCCTTAATGATGTTCAATCATTCATCCTTCCTTCCTTCCAATGCAAAAAGAATTAAATCTTTTTAAGTGAATTTTTGTGATTTTCACACACTATAACTGATGGCATTTAGATCCCCTCCCAAATCTGCACCTGCCACCACAGTCCCCCTGCCCAATTTAATGTTCGCTTATATATATAGTCTCATATATATAATACAGTCTAGAGATTCTGATTTGTGCTCCCAAATGTCCTTCAGTGTGGGTTCATCCACTGGGTCTACAGACACATGCAAAGACCTTATATTCTCTCTCATAAGTAGATGCTGGAAACTAATATGGGGCCATGTGGTGGTTCATGGGAGAAGAGCTAGAACAAAGTGATATAAATGGGAAAAGGCAAATGACAGATAGAACTGGCTTAAAGACGAGAGGTATAGCAGGAGAGGAGGGATAAGTAACACCAAGGGTCTTTGAAAAGAATCATAGTGAAGTCTAAAATAGAAGCTTATTTCTGTATATACATTACAATATAAAAATGATTAAATGTTGTGTCCTGGATGGTCATCTGACCTTATGTCCCATTACTTCTTCCAGACAATCGGTTGACCTTAGCTGCTTGAGGGGTAGGGACTAAGGGTATATACAGAAAACCACAAGGCTGCTCTCTCACCATTGTGTGTGGCTGTTGGGAAACACCACCAGACTTATGTTTGGGTGTGGACTTTTGAGCATCATGAATGGGGGCAGGCACCCACTCTTCTGTAAGTAAACCAGCACCCCAAGCTCAGTTACCAAGTCCAATAAACCCGTTAAGATCCTCCAAATGGCAGTTTTGGAGAATTCTTGCCTCAGGTTGTCGTAAGGACAGTGGGAGGAGGGAATTGGACCAGGTACCACCTGCACCTTCTAGCAGTAATTTAACTTTAAGAATGTAGTTACCCTGTAATGGGTTCAGTGATTGTAATAGACACCATAGACTTACAAATAGAAAGCCCAAGGTCAAGACACCCTCTTTTTGAGTTGTTGACAAAATGATCACATAGATCCTTAAACAACACATGCTATTGCCATTGCACTTGGTTACCCACCAGAAATGGATAGTAAGACCCTACTAATAAGATACTTCATACCTGAATCATGTAACAAACAAGGAAAAATCAAGCTGATGTGGACCTTGAAACTTCATCCCTGCTGGCTAGCTTTCATAGTACTAGAAGGTGCTATGCAATCACCATCCTTACCCAGCTGTGAACCCTGATTGTTACAATAACAACTGACTTGGCAATATATGCCCACTGGTGCAATAGTGGCATGAATGTTATGCATGTAACCAACCACTTTCTGATTGGTTTTAAGGCCCACTTCACAAGATATAGTCAATACCTGACACTATTTTCAGGGCCAAGAACATGTGGCTAGAAAGGTCATGGGCCAAAGGTGAGTACCTACTACCATCATTCTGTTAAAAAGATTGAGTATTAAACTCACTCCTAATGATTTATTGTTATACCCATAGTTCAGTGCATCTCTAAGCTCTCACCAGAGATGAGTTTTCTTGCAGCAGATGATGGTTAACTCTGATACCCATAACTGAGCAGCATGCAGAGAATAAAGGACTGTGGAGTGCTTTGCCCTAAATGGGGCACCTATACCACACCCTCTCTTCCAAATGTTCAAGAATCATTGTGTAAGAGGGGAGTGGAAATATTTTAAGAGCCAGAAGTGGTAGATGAGCACAAGCAAATTATGTTTTCTGGATGCCACAGGGTATTCCATATAGACCCACAACACTTGTGACAGAATGCACAAAATCCGTGCAAACAGAAGACAGACAGGGACCCACCATGGATGGAAAAGGCGGCCAGGAAGCTCCAGCCCTAACTTAGTATCTGTTCACAATTAACAGATTTGGGAAATACCTTACTGGTGCAATATCTGGTAAGTTGATCATATTCTGAGTGATAGATTCACACACAAGAGCATTTAGGAAACACAGCTTAGAATTGATAGGTCTTTCTAAAAAAGGCAAATAATAATAAAGGACATGATGTTGGGGGCAGCAGGTCTCAGTAGAAAGCACAGAGGCACAGTATCAAGCCAGATGCTGGCTGAAGTGTCATTCTTGGCTTTTTTCCTGCTGGTTTTGGACTAGAATATCTTCTTCCTCAATATGAGCTGCTGATTCAGACATTGGAAAATGTTCTTCTCACGGTCTATCTTTTCTCTGTAGTTATCCCTTTTCTCCTCTCAGTGGTTAATAATGACAGTTTCTCAAACCAAGAGTATCTCCCAAATCAGCTTGCACCCCATTTATGTCCAGTTCTGGACAAGCTTGTAACTACACCCTGACACTTCCATACCTCCTTACAAAGGGTACATCTAAGATAAAGGTAAGTAAATAATTCTCAATTAAATTATACTTTTCATAATGGTGCATGTATTAGAAAAAGAGCTTCTGAAAATTAGCTGCAATGGAAATTATACTATTATATACTTGCTGGGAGAAGTGGACACTAAACATTTTGCACAGTGTTAGTTATGGCTGTGCATTACTTCCCAATTTTAACTGTTTCAATATCTGTTCATTGCTATTCTTACCTCTAAGGAGTCATTTCACAGAAGACTATTCCTAAATGTGGATTTTGTTTTCCTTTCCTTTTCAAAACATTCAAAGATAAAACTTAGAATCCTGAGACTTAAAACCATTGCCTTCTCTAACATGGTTCTAACCAAATCATGGCACCAAATACCTGGTATACTCAACAACATAGCAAAATAAGACCAGAATCTTTCAGTTGTAATTTTTCTTATATTATTACTTTCATTTTCTTGATCTCCTTCGACTGAAATTTTGGGTAGCAATGTCCCCACAAATTTCCACTGTATAAGCAGGTATTGCCTCTTCTGACCCCCAAGGTTACTTTAACTTCTTTCTCTTTGTGATGTTTATACATCCTTCCTTACAATTCAAATATTCATGTCAGCATTATATTCCCCAAATAGGCTGAAAATTCTTTAAGATAAATCACAGGAGAAATGAAATGAT